CGCTACGAGACGTAGCTTCGCAGTGGCGGGTCCCGTAGCGTTCCGAACGGACACATTTTCTCCCTACTGGATCAAAATTCGATCGCGATATGAAAGTGATACGCTTTTTTAATCGTTAATTTTCTTGTTTAAAAATAACTGACGTATTTTTAAGTGCCAGTATTAAGTATTGAAGAAAATAATATTGTTTTTCTGTGTTGGGTTTTTGTTTTTAAACAAGTGTTGTTAAGTGTTTAAGAAGTTTAATATGGAAGCTATTTATTTTGGAACTTAAAAATGATGGCTTACTTCGTGATTTATTTTCTTATATACTTGAGAAGTCTTCGGTCTCGCTGTATAATTAAAGTTTAAAGCGGTAAGTTTAAAATTATTTTATTAAGAAATTTTAAAAATAATTATTAAGTTTTAGGTTTTTACGATTAAGTTTTTTATACTGTTAGTTAAAGGTCATAAATACTTATTTATAGACAGAGTAATTGTTTATTTTTAAAGTACTGTTTTTTAAACATTATAAGTTTTTTGGGTATTAAATAAGAAAAATATTCCTTAACAATTCCTAGTGATTAGTCGTACATAAATCAAAGGGCCATTATATTTTATAAAAACCTACAATTATATTAATTTTACTTATGTCGAAATTGAATAACAGAAAGAGCTTCACACTGCGATCACAAATATAACGAAAAATGAGCCTATTTCTATATCAGTTTTTATTCAAGCAAAAAAATGATAAAAGAAAGTACCGAATACATAATTTACTTTGTCCAAGAAAATTCTGAATTTTATAATTATTTATACAGTTTAGTTATTCGCGAGTATGTATGTATTTACCTGTAATTTCATTATTTAATTTGAAATACATCCATATACATCCATATGTATATGGATGTATTTCATGTTGGCCCTCTTTTTTAGGTCTTCAAATTAATTATGTAATACAGCTAAATATAATGTTAATGGAATAATTTTAAATTAAAAGAAATCACTGCGTTTTACAATAATTAAACATTTATTTTTATTTATAGTGGTACTAGAAGAATTATTAACAGTTTATAGAAACCAACAAAATTTACGTCAATTATATTTCGCCACTATTTATTAGTGAAACGGTTTATCACGTATAAAGTAAAGATATATTTATTATTCATACTAATAATCTTAAGAATATTGTATTAAAAGATAAACAGAAATAACTTACCTATATGTTTAGCCGATTCTTTTATATTTTATCGTTTCCTGTCTAAGGAATTTATAAACTTAAATTCATAATTTCAAAATGTCAAAACCAATTTCAGTGTGACATGTTTTATTGCACGTAATAAAGGAAAATTTTAACGAATATTTATATTGCATGCCATACTAAAATAAATGACACTTCCCATTTGAAATATCGAAACATATTTTTATTAATTCGATTTCCAGCATCGATAAATTTTACCGAATTTTTATTAATGCTGTTTTTGAAATGATGAACATCAATGTACGTACGTACTCAGCGCCCATCGACAATGATTGATTGCCATCAAATCCGTTCAGTACTTTACGATGAGTTCGCTGCTCGCAAATTTAGGTATTTTTATATTTTCTCACCTTATAAAAAAGGTTTTCCTTCTCACCTTTAATAGAGATTCAAGATAACTAAGGTGATCGAGGAGAATAATCTGCATATACCATTTTAAGATAATTTGTTCAATTTCCAATGAGTTAAATAGGGACAAAGGTAATTAACCTAAAATAAAATAAAGTTATTTTTCAATAACATTATGGTGTTTATTTTTAAATTTTGATTTATCACGACCATTTTTTAATTATGCCACTAGTTCTATACCATTGTCAGCTTTAGTCTTGTATATAATCTTCCTTTAACTAACTGTAAATTTAAAATAATATTTAGCTTAAATGTATTATGCAACATATTCAGTTTTATTTTTTAATTTAAAAGATGCTTATGACATCTTTTACTTAACTACATTGTCTATGTGAAAACATTTATGGGAGACAAGTCAAAGCAAACAAAACTAATTAAGCAACCATCTGTCTTATCTTTCGCTTAAATATATCTTGCTTTAAAATCGTAAAATAAAATGTTTGTGATCCCTGTGAATTCTTTTAGATAACGAATGAGACTGCATTTGCGTGGGACGTATTGAAGTAAACTGATACTGTACTGAGGTTATTTCGAGGGGAAATATTACTTGGCTTTTTATTTTATCGCTATTGTTGAAATCTTAAAATGAAGAGATTCTTTCGCATACACGGGGAAGTCTGAAAGCTTTATTGTTTCGAATGAAAACAACGCCCACTCATTTTTAGTACTTTTGAATTGAAAGTATCAAGTTGTATTCTGTTATTTTTTCTCTTGATATGAAAAATAATAATCTACGCTTAATTTATCATAGTTTTATGATGGTGTTTTTGTGATATTAAGACGTACCATGCTGCACTGTTATATACAGTAATTATAATAGACTTAATTCGTTATATTCGGACAATAGTTAAAATACTTATAATCTCTCTAATATTTAAAATGCGAATGTTTAGATGAACGGGTGAAAGGATGTTTGTTAGAAGGTATTTCCAGATAAGCTAAACGGATCGATGTAATTTGATGTAGATGTAGAATATAGCCTGTAAAAACATACGGGCAGCTTATTAAGTTTTTCCTTTAATTCTGCTTGAACGAAGTTGCGGGAAAAATCTAATCAATCTATAAAAGATACTATGGCATAGTAAAGATAATTACTTTTATAGAGCAACGCATTATAGCTGTTCTCATTTTAAATGGTACAGTGTAGCAATAAAAATGTTTTTTTACAATGTATTTAGAGTGTCTGCGTTCATATCTTTTTATAATTTAAAATATGAATTATACTTTCCATTTTCACACAAGGGCTATAAAGTTATACGATGTTCCCAAGCTGACTGTGAACAATAAATTTAAACATAAATTTGGCGATATCACACCTACCTACAGTATAGCAGACAAATTATGACATTTATTAATCTAAAACATATTATTGTTTAACTTTATGATGCAAACTAGTGAGATATGTGGAGAAAAATTACCAACATAAAACAAACTATCAGTTTTTACAAACTTTATTTGTTGTGTGTTTGAAATTGTTAAATGCATCTTTATTTTCTCCTCTAGACTAGAGTTATTTAGTTATCGCATTACATCGTAGTTTTCATTTAAATATTATGACTAATTAAAAAGTCGGTTTTACATTTTTTTTTTTAATCAAAAATATTAGCAGATTTTTTTAAAATTACTAATATTTCTAGTACCATTCCAACTAAGCTCTAGGCTTGTGCTAGGTTCGAACTCCCGACCACGTGATAGGGGCTCCGCACCCTTAACCATTAGACTATTGGCGCTTTTATTAAATAGATATTAGAAAAGTACCATGGGGGCAAGGGTGGTAGACTTGGTCAATTAAAAAATGGAATAAATATGAAATAGACATAAACTACTTCAAAATACTTACATTGACTATTGATTCCCATAGATAACTCCTAAAGAACTTGTCAGTTGTACTTCATTCTCTGCCTATCAGCACTACCTTTGGACTAAAGAAAATATACTACCTGCTCTTCCAAGGAATCATCTATCAAGCAATATAGATTATCGGCTAGCAGCTCTAGCAGCTAATTTGAACAATACTGTTTTCTTGACTCTTTCTCAACAGTCTGTGTAGCTGGTTCTTTCTAATACTATCAATTTACGTATAAAATTATTATATTATTGTAACCCATATACCATGTAATTATTGTAAGTAAAATTCAATATAACACAAAGCATAGTATATAGTGCTGATGCATGATTACACAAACATTTTATTAAAAATACACTGAACAAAGTAACCACCAAAAATAATTTTAAAATGTGAGGTACAAAGGTGATTAGTAGAATGAAAATTCGTAACAGTAAAGAACTACAAGAGAGAAATGTGAATTCTTTCTTAGCAAAAAACAAAACTGTAATAAATCTAACATGAAAAATAATACTTCAGTACTCTCGTAATATATTAACTAGAAGCATTATTAAAAAAGCTTTGAAATGAAAGCTCTGAGGGACTAAGTTAATATTTACATAACTTATCAAAAGTGTGCGCATTGAGAGACATATATCAATTATATATTATATGTTGTACGTCTGTTTGTGTCAGAGACATAAATGAGCTGCAGATAACAAAAGTGAAAAGATTCATGTTTCATTAAAAAGTTTCAACTGTAACAAACAGTGTGCTCGTAACCTCACCTCGGCTTCAAGATAAAACGTTATTTATCTTTCATGACAATAAAGAAAGAGTTTTATGTTTAATTTTTAATCATTGGACAGCGTGTACTTACGAATATATATATTTAAATCTGCATAAAACATCAACATATTTGTTCAAATATTGACCACATAAATGCCTGAAAATGTATGATTTAATTTATTTTTTTTTACGTTTTATAAGCTAGCGCTTGACCACGATCCCACCTGGTGAAGTGGAGATTTGGTCGAAAGATGGTACGCGCTAGCTTAGTAAGTGCCTAATTCACTCTACTAATAGTTAATTCTACTTAATTCGAAAATTATTAAATTAAAAGCCTTATTTTTCATTCTAGTAAATTCTTTTATGTATCTACGGCTCTACGGTGGGACATTACAAGTATCTAGATCTAGTCCAAGAAAAGTAGTAGAAATAGTACTGAAATATTTCTTTAAAGCTCTGCATTTTGCTTGACCTTGACCTTTAAACAAAACGTTCAGTTCATATCGAACAATTTGGAATTTTCTAGCATAATACTGAAACAATATTTTCGTCGTCTTTTCTTCTAAATTTTCCTTATAAATTTAATTTAAACTTCATTATACCCGTTACTAAGGAACTCTAGTGAATGGAAATATTAAATTAGTTAACCTGTTATGAAACACTTATCAACAGTGGAAACAATGAATGAGACTTCCCTGGAAGGTTATTAAGGGAGGCTTTGTTTTCAGGAGCGATGACCTCGACTCCGCCGAGGCTGTAGAGTGAAGCAATGACGCGTCTTGCCGCCGCTTGCCTGTTTAGTCTTCATTTTCTTTCTTACATTATTGGTAAGTAAAATTGCTTTCTAACTCTTGAACATATGAATATCATCATTATTATAAGAAGATTAAAAACAATACATTTATATCCCTATACTGTTAATATAAATAATATAATCGAGAGATCCAACTATACTTAGGACGGCGTATGAAATGGCGCGAGAGATCAAAATTAAAATGGTCGGATTTAAGGTTATCACGCACTTGTTAACTCCTTGCACAACAGTAAATACATATGTAATTTTTAAAAAAGCTCTTATTTAAAATATTATTGCATGAATACGGAGGTCGTAGAATACGTAATAATTTATGCATTTTGAATGGAACTAGGGAACGGACAACAGATAAATAGGGATAATAAAATTAAATTTTAAAATTGCAATTACAAGACGTATTAAACAACTTAAAAACATATTTGTGGTACAATATGTACGTATAGCGTCACATTGGATTTATTCTGTGAGGATGCTATAGAGTTTAATAAATAAAAGAAAGAATTTTTGGACTGAATCAATAATATCGTGGCATGTGAATACGGTATTGTTAATTATTCGCAACGCCAAGTGTTAGTTTGCTAGAGTTCTCTTACTTAATTCCATCATTTGATTAATGTGTTACCGTATCTCAGCTAACCACATCTAAGAGACGAAACTGTGTAATAGATGGCTGGGGCTGCTCGTGTCAAGCGTCGAAACCAAATACATTTATTAAGGGCACTGTAAACACGTTAATTGCTATCTACAGGTCAGGGTTCAATTCCCGACATGTACCAAGGTATAATACTTTATCAATTTTAAAACACTTCGTAAATAGGACCACGTATATTGTCGAAAGATATAATCTGAGGATAATTTAGAATCACGTGCATAGTTCGCGTTCCTTTCGCTTATTCAGTTCGTACACGCATAGCGGATACATGTGAACGTTATAGATTTGCTTCGCCATCTTGAAAATCGCACTTTTCGTGCGATAATCCTGAAAAACAGGTTACATACAACGGATGATGGCGATAAAATAATTAATCTCAGCAAAGAGCGCTGTGTACAAACTTTAATAACACGATGTGGTTGTAAGTCGCTTAGCGACTATAATATCCGGGTTCCCCAGATTTACTTTGCCTTGTATATGTAAGATCTTAGCTGACCATCTTACAGTGGAAAAAAACGTGACTCGAACTACACATAACTGCAAAAAAATTCATACATGTGTATTCAATCGACCGATAGCCACTGGGCCAGCGTGGTTGACTTGCCTGGCCTCCTAACAGGGGTTAGATTGGCCCCCTCCGTGGTGATATGTATGCGCTGAAAACTGCTAAAGTAACTTATAAAAATTGATGTAACCATTTGCAGCTTTACAGGTTAGACGAAATAAATGACAAAGTAAAGAATTAATTCTCTTTTTACGTTGAAGCAAGTTGTAAAATTCACGCACTGAAGAGTTAAAGTTGCGAAATCATAATTTAAAATTCAACATTTAATCAAGCCCCGTCTGACAGACGGGATTTACGCCCCTATTGAGGACGTTTCATTTTCCATACCATTTCTTTCTCCTAGCCTTTGGACCATAACGAAATTAATTTTTAATTTAACCTTTGGTAATACCCCAATTTTTTTGCATTAAGGAAAATGTGCGTTAAAAGTTTTTAGTACAAAGATTTTTACTTTATACTTTTGCTTTTATCGTTTAGTCTTTATACACAAACCCGCACTTGGCCAGCGTGGTTGACTATGGCCTAATCACCCTTAACTTAGGGTAGGCTCCGAGCCCCTCGGTACATAGTGAGCTGATGATGCTTGCTTGCTTTATACATAAGTGTAAAGTAAAATTATACACTTGCTTACAAAACATTTTTACGTACATACCACAAATTAAGACTCGCATATTTTGTTTCCTTTAGTTTGTGATAGAATTTGCTTTCTGTGCATACTTTCCTTTCCGTCGATTAAAGGTAGGCAACGCATATGCAATTGCGTATGTCTATGGGTAACGGTCACTTCGCTATTTCAGCGATTTCAGGTGGCCGCTCGCTCGTTTGCCACCTAATAGAATAAAAAAAAGAAAATATTTTTTTCTTGAGCAGTATAAAGTGATGTAAAACTTTTATTTTAATCAACTCTACGCATTACAATGTCCACATATATTTATTGCCCCATCTAACAACTTACATAAACCCTTTACGAACAAGATCGTAACAAAGTCAATCTGGGTCAATCCAACCAAATAATAAAAGGACATCTCAAAATTTCCTTTGCTTTTTATATTTCTACTTAAACATGACTTAAATTTAGTTATATTTTTCGTAATATTACTTACAAAATTAAATATTTATTAATGATTCTTGTAATTATTTTTATTTGTCATCAGTATGCTATCAAGACAACAGTAACAACCGTCCTCGTGAACAAAGCACAGTATCTGAATCATCAAGAAGGTTTCGCGCGGAGTTCTTGGAGGATTGGCCTCATACACCCGGAGCGCCTTACTTCGACCCTAGCACTCCGGACAATGTGACCGGTTTAGTTGGACACCCAGTCACTCTGCTTTGTAAAGTGAAAAATTTGCAAAATCGCACTGTAAGTAAGATTTATAAATATTTATAGTTTCTCATCTTACTATCTTACTAACATTATAAATGCGATTGTTTGCATGTATGGATGGATGTTTAACAGAAGGTATCTCCAGAACGGCTGAAATTTGGCATATAAGTACAATCTAGTGTAGAAGAACACTAATTAAGTTTTTTTAATCACTAGTATTAATAATTAAAGAGCTTAAAATTTCATAGAAACGATTTAAACATAGTTTATTTATGGGTACAATAATATATTGAGTTAATTTGCTAAAATCGTGTTCTGTATTACTTTAGTATCTCCGAAAATAGTGATGTTATACATTAATTTTATCAGTGAAATTCTACGATTAAAATTAATACGCATAATTAGCATCAATTTGCATTGTTTCAAATTATACAGGATGATTTTCCAGATCTTAAACAAGATATTAATAAGTAAATAGCTTAGTTATTATGTTTCGCTATTATTTTTGTTACGGCGATGAATATTTAAAGTACATTAAAGTGTTTACATGTTACATACGTGTAACGAAATTATTTCGTTCTCTTCACGCTTCGAAGTCACGACGGAACATAACGACACTTCTTGTTCAATCTTTGGCTTTACGCATTAAAAGTTTAGGCGGTGCCATTTTCAAAGCGTAACGGCTTCTCAACATCAACGTTATCGTCTTATATTGTTTATTTCTTTGGGTTCACGAAATATTTTAGATGATGCGAAAAGTTTACTTGAGTTTCTCGGAAGAAAATTCAGGTTTTTTCACTTTATAATTTAAAGTATAAATAATGCTATTTACTTAATATACAACTACAACTATATTGTTATATAGTTTCTGACTATTCTCTATTTATAAATCTATAATTTCTATAATTATTTTTTTACTAATCGACTGATAAGAGAATTTTTGTTTATTGTGGGCAGTATCTTAACAACTCCCTTCATCTCTTTTTGTTTTTAGGGTTCCGTACCTGATAGGAAAAAAACGAAACCATTATAGGATCACTTTTTATCATAAGTAGAAAACGCAATCTTATTTCAATGTTACACATTGCTAGATACAATATTGACATGTTAAACTTTCCACACAAACCTCAGTTGCAATCTAAATACAAGTCTAAACAAATATTAGTCCCAATACAGATTCTAATCCAATGCTATCTGTTTGTTATTGCAAATCTCTATCGGTATGCAAGTCTGAGTACGATTTCAGTATTTATTTCACTATAGGAATATAACATTGAATTCAATATTTTAATGTGCGCATAATAAACTCTTTTCTAAGCTCTTCAATTATTAATTACTAGCTGGCACCCACGACTCTGTCCGCGCGGAATAAAAAAAAAACTCATTAGTAGCCTTAATGTTCTTCCAGGCTAGCTACATGATAAATTTTAGTGAGATCTATCTGTGAGAGTCGTTCTGGGTATACTTTTTAACAAATATACATCCATCCATTCATACATGCAAATATTCGAATTTTTAATATTAGTAAGCTACAGTTAATGAAGTGGAAATGAAGTTTACTGTAAGCTATTCAAATGCCTTTTTCGTTTGTTTTAAATTTTAAAATACTAAAAGGTTAATACAATATACTAATGTTACTTGAATATAGTTTAGTTTTTTGTCAAATGAACTCACATATCAAATGGACAACATTTGTTGAGCATGACACGACAGTAAATTGTTGTGAAATGATAGTTTGAAATGTCCGATGTCCGCGTCACATACAAAATCAAATATCTGGAACGCGCACACAACTGCGGTGGACTCGTAAAAGTTGTAAAACACAATTTACGGCTTCGGTCTACAGAGAATTCCAGTACATGTTAGTATTTTGATGTCCCACTTTTCTACAACTTTTTATAATAGCTTTCATATATCTCTGGAAATGAAACGAATCGTATTTTATTTTATGTTTAAAAATAAATAGTGAAAGCATATTTGCGATACAAACACATACATTCACGCTAACTCGCACTTGAAAGAATTTCAATGGGAATGTTATGTACTTCAAGTATATAGAATGACAGTTCCATGACAACTCGAAACTTATCCAATGTTGTGACACATTTAAAAGCCGACACCCCTTTTGCAGTTGCTTGCTCCTTTTGGAACGACATGCAGAAATTCAGGCGCGTTCCCTTTAAAAAAAAATAACATTATTTAGTGTCTTTAAACCTTGTGTCATTTTACATTAGGTATCATGGGTACGTCATCGCGATATCCATTTGTTAACGGTGGGTCGCTACACGTACACCTCCGACCAACGGTTCGAGGCGCAACACAAGCCGCGCTCCGAAGAGTGGGCGCTGAGGATACGCAGCCCGCAGCGGCGCGACTCCGGACAATACGAATGTCAGATATCAACTACGCCGCCCATCGGACACGCTGTATATCTCAAAATTGTTGGTAAGGTTATTAATTTGTTAAAGTTAGTTAAAAAGATTTACAGAATTGTTAACAGGGATGAAACTATCACAGTTAAGCTAGAAAAATGTAACTTCTAGGTTAAATATACGGAAAGAACTTAAAAAGCGTAAGAAATCCGAGTGACTGACAATAACCGTAAGAAACTCTACGCTTCCTTTATGCGAAAAGACGCCTAACATTAAAACAAGATCCAGCTCAAACACACACACATTCCTGCAAAAACATTGCACTCGCGTCCCTCGGACAAAAATATATTATTCAACATATTCTATAGACATAAACATAGTTAAATGTTAGTTTATTCGATAAATATATTCCACTTTTACGTACTCTGTTATCACTTCTCGCAGTGACATCGTTAAAAGGTCGTAAGATTAACGATAACGCGAAGTGACAGTTTGTCTGCCTATTTCTATTATTAAAATTCCACTATCTTCAGTTATTTCTTTTTCACGAACTCGTTTTTATAGGTCGTACATAACGAGTCGTGGTTGCCCTTTGAATAATGCAATTATTTTGTAAACTATAAAAGCGGAGCTTTGTAACTTGCTCGTTGAAATTCGTGTAGCGAATTTTCATACTGATACATATCCAGTAGCGATCGCAATCGCAATCGCGCGACTATCACATAAATGAGGGTCGTACGCGACTAGTCGTATAATAGAACCCAATTAGAATCACATGATTTAAACAGCGGTATTTTTGAAATTAGCCTATTATTAAAATTAATCTTCGATAGAGGCACTCTTTGTATTGTCTTTGTTACATATCTTGATTTATGCAATAGAAATGACAATTTACAAATCCAAAGGAAGCCGATTATGGACGGTGCGCTTTTGGCAAGCGAAAGCGTGAAGCGGCTTTGCACTTTATATGTACCAGTGTCACAAAATACTTTAGGCTTAACCTATTTTGAGATAAAGTGGTATGAATCCTAGCATAAAGCTGTGCGGATGAAGGAACCTTTGATTTCTAGCCAACACTTTTGAAAAATGTTTGGGTATATTTTAAACAGATTTTATTTTCAAATAAGACGTGGTTTTTAATAAAATTGTAAGCACTGTGCTCATTACTATATAGCAGTTGTTGGTTTTTAATAAGTGCATGTACATGTGTATCAAAAATTTAAAATTTGTTGCAGAACCAGAAACTGAAATTTTGGGTGGATCGGACCTGTTTATCTATGCTGGTTCTACGATCAACTTAACTTGTATCGTCCGACATACACCGGAACCGCCGAACACAATAAATTGGACTCATAGAGGAAAGGTTATAAAAACAAATAATAATTATTTTGAAGAACTTTAGTTAAGTTTACAATTACAAAACAAATACATACTTATGTTTGGACGAAGTTTCCTCAAAAAACAACAACAAAACTGAAACAAAAGAGAGTTGGCACGTCTCCATAGAGCTATTTGCAGACCGTCTTCCATAGCTTATTTTATTACTCAAGTTTGAAAAATTTAAATTTATTTTTTAATTAATAGTGCCTTAAACATACATAGAAATTAGGTATGCAATTGTCGTAAACTCATGTACGTCCTTACCGAAAGACGCGAGACTACCCTAAGTCAAAAAAAACTTTTTTATGCAGACAATAAACTTTGATTCAACACGAGGCGGCATCTCGCTGGTGACAGAGAAAGGTTTCCACAGCAGCAGTCGGTTACTGATCCAGTCGGCGCGGACGTCCGACGCGGGCTCGTATCAATGCGTGCCCGACAACGCGTTGTCAGCAACCGCTAGAGTACATGTTTTAACTGGTTAGTATTATGTTATATACAGACTATATACGCTGAAGCTTTATGTATCCTTTCAGAGAAGAAACAACCGATATTAATAATTGCATTTCAACGTAAATCCGAAAGTCGTCCTAGGCTTCCTGCATAGCTCCATTATTATCTTTACTAAGGTGTCCTCTCCTATTAAAAGTGGTATATTATACTTTTCAAACAGCACCACGGTACATATTCAGAGTTACAGCTAATGAAATAACATACTGACTTGGTTCCAAAGAATGCTTGGATTCTAAGAATAAGTATGAGTATTCTTAGTCGACGGAGAATAACAGGAGTCTTATTTCCAGTTTCATATGCAAAAACATATCCTTTATTATTCTCAACTCATATAAATTCTCTGTACTTCGTAACAATAAAGGAGACTCGTTAAGATCTCTCAAACGCAAACTATACATCTGTGGAACTTATTAAAATTGCAGGAGAGACGCCAGCTGCGATGCAAGGCGGAGCACAATGGATAAGCAATGGCGTTCCCAAAATAGTTTTTATTGCTAATATCATAATACATTTGTATGCATACGTTAATTAAAGAACCAACAGTAAGTTTTATAATTAAGGAAATCTTGAATACCGCAGAATCTCGTTGTGAATATTAGGCCGAACTTTATAATCGATCGCAAACTATTTTGATAATTTAACAGTGGTAGAGCCCGCTTTGACATCTTCGCCGTGAAATACGATGACCACACAGAAGACAGGCGTGAAGTGGAAGCAATTCCGCGTACAGTCTGATGAGTGTGCGTCTCGGAGGCCTAATTTAGTCCTCTTTCCCTTTCCATCCTTCTTTTCTTATAAGGAAAGGATGAGAAGTGGAAGTGGACTTTCGGGATGAGAGGATGCTTGGAGAGGGAAAATATTTTCTTTCTGTGCATCCTCTCCTCCGTCGATTAAAGATAGGCAACGCATATGTAATTGCGTATGTCTATGGGCTACGGTCACTTTGGTATTTCAGCGATTTCAGGTGGAAGTTTGCTCGTTTGCCACCTTATGATATAAAAATCTAGCTAAGTCATCAAAGCAAATAAAATAATCTTCAGATTGAACTTAACGATCGATTATGGAGTTCGGCTGCTTATATAAGGTTACCTTCAAATGTACATATGTATAATATATTTAAACATGTTTCGTGATTTCGTTTAAATGTTTCTGTGCCAAAGATGCACGGAGTTATATCCTTAGTCAGGGTACAAATTAATAAAATATTCTATTACTGTAAGTATATCGATAATTCGAAACAAACATTAATTCAATTGTTGTATAAAATATTGTAGTCAGGAACTTTTAAGAAAATAATAGTTTAATTAGTTTTAAATTATGTTAAATATAATAAAGATGATTTAATACTTGGTCGTTTCATTTATTTTTTAGCGTTAATCTAAAAACATAAACCTATTTTAAGTTCTTTATAATAAAAGCAGAGATTGGTTGTAAATAATCTGTGGTAGAAACCAGTACAAACAAATATGGGAAGTGGATTTGACGGAGGACGGGACGCATAGTAAGCAACAATATTCTCTAAGTGTGCGTCCTCTCCTCCATCGATTAAAGGTAGACAACGCATCTGCAATTGCGGATGTCTGTGGACAGCGGTCACATCACTATTTTGGCAAAACCAGGAGCTGCCTGCTCGTTTGCCAGATAATAATGTAAAAAAAAACAAATTTCATATCATTAACTACGTCGTTAAAATTAGTGTCTAATGACGTTGTATTTCGTTTCATGCCTTAAGTAGTACTGTATTGCAGATTTATTTTACTAAATATATATTACTAACTTTAGCCCGCAACTCCATCCACGCGGAATTAATAAAAAACTATATTAGTAGCCAATGTGCTCTTCCAGACTATGTTCTACATTTATGCTACATTTCAGCGGAATCTGTTGAGTAATTCTGGAAATACCTTCAAACAAACATCAATCCATCCTTCCATTCAAACATTCACATTTATAATATTAGTAAGATAGTATGATTATATCAACATATTGTAGACTTCATAAGTAACCATTAAAACGGTAGTAGTACCCAATTAAACTAAAATTTTCAAGTCAAGTCAACCTCGCGTCAAGTCAAAGTCAACCGAATCGATTAGATTGAAAACAAGAAGATTGGATATGTCAAGAGCATTGTCTGTATGTTGGCGGAATGCTGCGATACGGAGACGTGTCACGTAACAAGTCTGTAGAGTACAGTAGCTATTACAACTCCAAATTAAACTTCACACGTAAGTCAGAATAAATTATTTAAATTATACTAAAATTTATGACAATCACAGTTTAGGTGAAAAATTGAATTTAAATCTGAATCACCAATAGCGTAATAATGAAGGAAAAAAGTTATCGAGAACCATATTCCTAAAACCTAAAGTCTAAGCTAAAGTTACATTAAAAAAAAATATAATCTGCAAAATTCAAATATTAAAATAAAATTCTTTATACCACAGTTTTAAACAATTTAAAATAAATATTTCTGACGAGAACAGAGACAAATTCAGAGGCTAAGACTAGTTCACGACACCTAGATTCAGCTATACGATATCTATGATTGCTCCAGTGGGATATAAATTGGCTGTAAAGTTGGAAGCTATGCTCTTAGCGGCCCCATTGTACAAACTGATTTGATCGATAGTTCTAAAACGTCGGCCAAACTTTTTATGGCATCGTTTGCTTTGACTTTACAACAATTCGAAGAAATCATTGTACAAGATGGGCTAAAAAAAAGATCGAGATTGTGCTTTTAACTCGATATATAGTTTTTATTATAGTCATTCGTATATCAACACTTACGGAGAACTTTTTTTTGCGAATAATAGAATAAACTATAACAATCTATAAAATGTGTCTAATGGATGACGCTATCTTTTTAGCTGGCTAGGCTTGTCATAAGACAATATTATTAAAATAACATAGGAAATGTCAAGATAACTTATCAATTACTGGGCAAAGACAGGAAATAATACAACTTCAGTATAATATGATTTAAAGTAAGTTCAAAAGGGATATCGGAAAGTCCGCTTAACGACTCTAATGCGGATAAGATACTTTTAAAGGTAAAGACAACTTAAGAAGTCTGAACCGACTGTTTGTTATCTGAACCGACGGCCAAATAGGCTCTGACGGATTTGGCGATTACGAGCTCGTCTTAAAACCCGAGCCTGCTTATTTTTTTATATAAAATTGTTAGTTTATTATCTGAAATACCTTATTAGTTCGATGACCTGAAATCTTATGTTTGGTCAAGGGATTAATCAGAAATAAAATAAACATAAAATTATATTTTTTTCTGCATTTTCCATCATATTCCAAAATTCAATAATACCTGCATATATAACGTATGAATAATGTTAACGCTTCAAATGTTCTTATGCATTTTGCGAAAATAATTATTTAAGTATTATAATAACAGAGTAATTCTGGTATATTGGAGTAGTTTGCTAAGAATGCACTTTACGATATACGCAAGGATTATAAACTCCTAAATGGATTGTGCATTGGAGTGAATAACGAAATCTACTCTGTATGCAACGTATTCGACAACTCCATTTGAGAGGATTTACAAATAGATATCGCAATAATGAAGTGTTTAATTGTTTTTCTCAATACGTGAACAGCTTTATTTTTCAAGTATACATTTTTTAATCGTGTAAATTACATGTTAAATTTGCTTGTTTGAAACAAGCCTTAATTGTCTATTTTCCTTGATGTTATTTTTCATGCTTATCAACATATTAAAAAAACAACTCGTAATTTAAAAAAATGCTTATCATGTTATCAAAACTTAATAGAAAATAAGCAATACCTAATATAATTTCATGTACAAAGTTATAATTAAAATAGACAAAAACCATGAAATAAAACATTTTCGCGAATCATTATTTGCATAAAAAATAGTACTGCTGCTTCATATTCGTGACTAGTACCCATTTAAAGTGTATATTTAAGAATTAACTATCGCGTCATAAATATTTTACAGTGTGAGACTAAAATTGTATAATAACAATGGTAGAGCCCGCTTTAACATCTTCGCACGAATTGGCCCGGCTCGCCCGGTGAAATACCACGACCACACAGAAGACAGGCGTGAAGTGGAAGCAATTCCGCGTTTCGTTTGATGAGTTTGCGTCCCGGAGGCCTAATTTAGTTCCCTTCGCACCCTTTTTCTTATAAGGAAAGGATGGGAACTGGAAATGGACTTTCCGGATGAGAGGATGCAAGGAAAGGGAAGATATTTTATTTCTGTGCATCCTCTCCTCCGTCGATTTAAGGTAGGCAACGCATATGCAAATGCGTTCGTCTATGGGCAACGGTCACTTCGCTATTTCAGCGATTTCAGGTAGCCGCTAGGTCGTTTGCCACCTTTTGATATAAAAAAAATTCGAAACATTGCTCAGATATAGTTGAAAATACATAGGATTTTTTTTATTATTATAATACAATGAACTATGCGTCTCTAAAATATTTGTAGAGTACATTTTAACATAATATTTATTTTTAACTACGAAGAAATTAGATTATTTACTTTGAATTAAATATTTTAAAACTAAATAGTTACCAGAGGAGGGGTTTGTGTTTTAAACTAATTAACTTAACCAAATACAAAAAAAAAAATAATTACTTTGAAAACAATTTCTTTCACCATAACAAGCGTTTGTAAAACCAATATTATAATTGTTGAAAAGGTTTTCAGAGTTGGATTCAAGCCAAATGTGCCCTATTTTCCATTACAAATCAAGGTTACTCCTTGTTCCAGAACACATAATATGCTCAATTTCAATAGCAAACCGTGATAAGGGCAAGGCATTAGGAATGTGAAAAAAATTACACACATCTTTTCATAGATTAGATTAGATTAGATTAGATTAGATTAGATTAGATTAGATTAGATTAGATTAGATTA